CTCACCTCCACCAGGGGAGGAGCTCCTCCTGCAGGAAGGGAGCTGTCCTATCCCTCCTTGCTCACCTCCACTGGAGGAGGCACTCCTACAGGAATTGAGCTGTCCTGTACCTCACTCACCTCCACTAAAGGAGGCACTCCTTCTGCAGGAAGGGAGCTGCCCTGTCCCTCCATGCTCACCTCCACCAGGGGGAGGAGCTCCTCCTGCAGAAAGGAATCATCTGTCCCTCAAGCATCGGAAGCAGAAAAGCAGTTGAGATCAACCAGGAGAACCATGAGCAGAACCCTCCCCACCACTAGTTTGCAGGCTGGGCGATTCACCTAGAGTCACCTCAAAGGTCTAGGAAATGCCTTCAACCATTTATAAACTCTGCACCCCATAGTGCTCACGTTCCCCACACATATACCACATGCTCCTGCAATCAGATCATGCACACTGCCCTCCTCCATGGTAGTGCCTTTGTCTAGAAAGCACGTGTGCCCCCTACAGATGCTCCCCTTGGCAAACATGACCTTCCATGGGACGTTCACCTTGTCCCTGCAATGCCGGATCTTGCACAACATTTTCATGCTCACCAGGTACTCAGATGTGACTTAAACAGCGGTCACGGGGAGGCACACACTTTGTCAACAATGAAACGTAGTGAAGGGACTACATGGGCGCTTCCTATACTCACATGGGTGCCAACTAAAGATCGTCTTGGACGGTTGACTTCAGAGATGTTAGCTTCCGGAGACCACCATGTGCGGGCTCTCAGCAGACACGAACGAGGGGCACTGGACTCATCCTGTGAATTCGTTCGAAGGAAGAAGAGTCAGACGCTGCCCGAGCACAGACTGAAATCCTCCAGTGCAACAAGCTCTTTCTTGCCTCGAGGATCTCTCCTCCTGCATGTCTCTTCTTTCCACTCGCTGCCTAACCCCTGCTTACCTACGGGTCTCGACAGACTCGCCACCACCTCAGAGAAGCCCCCCTGGTTACCAATACCAAGCAAATATATCCCTCCCAGCTGACTATCCTAGCACCTTGTTTCCCCTCGATACCATTGATCACTCTGTGCAATAATCTATTTAGGGGGTTTCTTCTTACTTGCTATCTGTCCTTCCCACGGGCTCAAAGGATCAAGGGGGGGGGCGGGCCATGTGTCTGCCACAGCAAGCTCTCAATAAATATTTTCTGACTAGAGCTGGGCTTGCAAACGCTGGCTTGTAGGACTGTCCCCTCTGTGTTTTTATAGCCCAGGAAGAATGTTTCTCACATGTTTAAATGGTTGAGAAAAGAATACTTGGCGGCACATGAAGAGTATATGAGATTGATATTTCAGTGTCCACAAAGAAAGTGCGAGAACACAGCCACATCTGTTCGCTCCCTTATCATCTGTGGTGGCGTCCACACGACATGGTCGGACGTGACTAGCTGCACAAGAGATTGGCTGCAAAGCTCGAAATATTGACTGTCGGACCCTTTACGTGAAAAGTTTTTCAGCCTCTGGAATAGAGTCCTACAGGTGAGTTCGGCTTTGAATCTACTCAAGAATATATATATTTAGGGACACCTGAGTGGCTCAGTTGTTAAGCATCTGCCTTCGGCTCAGGTCATGATCCC